TCAACTATGAGTCAAAGCCCAACATATGGCCCAATTTTCCAAATTGGGCCCAAACCTTTACACGGTATTATTCTAAGGCCTAACCATTTAGTCCAGTCCAAACATTTGACATTTCTAATGACCCAATATCTCATAATCATAAAGGCCCAATTATGGCCCATCTATGGCCCAATTTTCCAAATTGGACCCAAACCCCTCACATGGGCCTTACTCTAAAGCCCATTAAATTATTCTAGTCCATATGATTGTTCTTAGATGGTCCATCAATATCCCAATCACCAAAGCGCAATAGAAAGGCCCAACTTAAAGCCTAAGTGAAATTAGGGTTTTCACATAAAATGAAGATTAGGGTTAAGTGTTTCTCACTTAACCCATTAAGGACTTAATCTATTAAGTCCATCACTCTACTAGACAAATCATATGGTGTGATCGGGCTTAATACATAGACCAATTCCAATGGCCCAAAATACGGGTCCCGATAAGTCCAAGCCAATGATTCCAAAATTAGGGTTTTCTAAACCCTAATTAGGGTTTCCAACCCAATTCCAACCCAATAGGCCCAAAAGCTAAGTCCTTAGATCCATTAGGGTTTCATTAGGCCCATTAGGGTTTTGCTGTCGGGCACCACCCATTACCACATCGGGTAGCGGTGGTCAACGGCGGCTCACGGCGGCGGCCACCACCTCACGGCGGTGGTTATGGTTCTAGTCCATTTTGTTCAAGCATCCCAAACGAATCAAAACACAAACAAGGCACACCGCCACCCAACATGGCGGCTGGTGGTGGTTATGAGTTTCGTTTCATTATTCTAATTTCTAATTACATTTTACAACACAATCCCAATAACACACACACTCACTAACATAAGCACACATACACAGCCACCCTTGTGGTGGCCGGCGGTGGTAGACGTGGCAGCCACCACCTCACGGTGCTGGCGGTGGCTTTCTTGTTTTTTTTTCGGCCAACGAACACCTCATACTACACTCCATCGGAATAAACACGTACACACCAATATGTACCCTCAGCCACCAACACACGGTGGTCAAAGGTGGTAGAAAAGCAAAATGGCGGCAGCCACCATGGTTGGTTGCCATGGTGACTCTCTTCAACATCCGACCAGCCAACAAAACGCACACACAAACACGATGCAACAGCGATTCACACACACACGCGAAGCACGAGCACCCAACACGCAACAAAACCTCGGAAATGGAGGAGGAGGACGGCGATGGAGGAACTAGCTTCAGCGGCTACGTCGGAAAAACCTTGACAGAGTGAACCAGCCGCAAGGCGGCGACGGCGACAACGACAATGAGCCACAACGACAGCAGCGGCGGACGGCGGTGACTTCGTCTTCTTCACATAGGCGGTGCAGCGGCGGAGACGATAGCTGTCGGGCTCGACGATGCAAACGGTGGCTGATGACGGTCGTTCGGTGTTTTCCGATCTCCACGGTGGTGGTGGTGCGGCGTCGGAAGTCAAGAAGGGAAGGTGGCGGCTGCTTATCAATTAGGGTTAGGGTTTAGGCAATGGAACCGTTATATACCGTGTACTACAAAACTTGTTGCCATAATGGCAGAAATGGTCCCTCCCTAGAAACCTCTTTTCAAACTAAGTCCTTAATTTACCCTTTCTACTATGGTTTCGGAAATTCCTTTCAAATCCAATCCGTAATTTACCAAACAGCCACCTAGACTCCAAAATTTCTTCAAATGAAGTCCCAGAAGTTACCAAGTAGTCTCTGCCTTCATAAATATTTACGAAACCAATCTGAAACTTACACTTTTAACCCCTGACTTCTAAAATTGTGACAGTTAGCTCCGCGAGACCAGCACCTTGCTATATAATTATTGATTTTAGGGCTACTATTCATTCATTAATTAAATAAACATGGTGTTACAGGTCTATTGGGTAAATGGTTAAAATGCAAATAAATGTTGGTTTTTGGGACTTAATTAACTAAGAAAAGATAAAGACTTAATCGTTAATGAGATCAAAATGTACTTAATTGCGGTTTTTGGGACTTAATTGACTAAAAAAAGATAAAGACTAAATTGTTAATGGAGTCAAAACATAAAGACATTTAGTAGATTTCCCATATATATATATATATATATATATATATATATATATATATATATATATATATATATATATATATATATATATAGGGTTAGTTTAATTTGAGACAGGTCAATTTTTGTGAGACCGTGAGACTTTTTTTTAGTAAATTATTCTAATATTCAACTTTTCATAAAAATATAATATATGTAACATTTTCATATTCTAAAACAATATTGTAAACCCATTTTATATTGAAATATTCTAAAAACATATAACGTTATAATATTATAGATATTATATTTTTACGAACACTAGAACACTAGAATATTTAACTAAAAAAAATTGGTCTCACGGTCTCACAAAATTAAGTTTGTCAGTAAAAGTTCATTTGATAAAGACTTAATTTTGTGGGACCAATACCATAGAAGTCCCAAGTTTTTACCACTAAATTGGAAAAAGTCCTTAATTTAGTTTTTCGTTGACTCTGGACACAATATTTCCATTTACTTATCACTTGGGAGCTAATAGCCGGTAACGAGAAGGTCACTTGTACTCATCCGGTCACCAATATCCTTAAAACATTACCCCATTTGAATTCTTACATATTTTCTAGCCATCACCTTTCACGAGCCATCACTAAGAAAGGGTTTCATGCATCCGACCTTTCATGGTAGCTGAGAAGGGTTTCACAGTCCCCAATTCCACATCTTTGAGCCTCGAAATCGTTGGTGAAGTAAGATGGAGTAGAAAGGTATGTATATGGAACCAAAGAAATCGATGCCTCTTGGGTGGTTATCTTACGTTTGGAGTGCCAAGTGTGAAGTAAGAAGTTTTTTTTTTCTTATGTAACATATGGCTTCTAATTTTGGAACTAAGAAGCCTAAAGGGTCTGAGAAGACTAACCTTCTAGACTCTGACTCCGATGATGAAGCTTTTGACTTTAGCTTCTTGCATTTTTCTGAAGAAACTTTCAAAATCTCCTCAAAACTATATGATGACCCTTTCCTTAACTTATTGTGTGATAAAAACATTTTAAGGAGGAGTATTGATGGAATGGTGGATGATGGAGATAATCCTTGTGGCCAACAAAATGAGAATGCCCACTTAGATGAGGATGATGAAGATATTAGCGTGGACTATAAGGTGCATGATCCCACTGTTGACTTGAAAGAAATGAAGCCACCATTAGGAGACTATTATTAATCCCCTGCTCAACTCAGGTTTGCTTTAACAAACTATACAATTTATGGAGGATACCAACTTTATTTTGAAAAAAGTGATAGAGTGAGGGTTATAGCTAAATGTGGAAGCGGAACTTGTGACAATGAAGAAATGCAATGTCCATTTAGGGTTGCAGTTGGATGGAAGTATAATGAAAGGACATTCCAGATTAAATTCTGTAATGACATTCATCTATATGCTAGGAATTATCACTTTGGCTCCCTAGTTTCTAGCAACTGGATAGCCAAACACTACCTAAAAGATATAATCATGAAGCCCAAGATGACATTGCTAGAGATGCAAGCAGATGTTATACAAAGGTTTTCAATGAGTGTATTTGTTGGGCAACGCCAAAGAAAAGGGCTATGATAATGGAGGTGATAGAAGGGAAGTTAGAAGATCACTATGCCAGGGTTTGAGACTATACAACTGCCATTAGGATGACAAATCCGGGTACAATATGATTGGTAGGGGTAGAAGGTAATCCCAGGTTTAACTATTTCTTGAGGTTTTATGTTGGCTTCAAGGCTTTCAGAGATGGATGGAACAAAGGTTTCAGAAGGGTTATAGGACTGGATGACAGTTTCTTGAAGGGACAGATAAAAGGGGAGATTCTAACTGCTATTAGGAGAGATGCAGACAACCATGTCTACCTAATAGCATGGGCAGTTGTGAATGTTGAGAATAAGGAGAATTGGACCTGGTTCATTGAGAATTTGGTTACTGATTTGGATCTAGTGTTGGAAATGGATTGGTTGTTATCTCAGACCAACACAAGGTACATACAATATATATATATATATATATATATATATATATATATATATATATATTAGTATATGTAATAGTCATTAATTGTAACATGTGTTTGTGCGTTAATTTTAGGGACTTGTACAGGCTGTGGCAGACCTACTCCCCCATATTGAGCACATACAATGTGCTAGACACATCTTTGCAAATTTCAGGAAGAAATACATAGGATTGGAGCTGAAGAATTTGTTTTGGGAAGCTACTATGAGTACACTGGAAGGGGACTTTGTGTCTACAATGGAGAAGATAAAGAAGATAACAAAATCAAGATACAATTATCTTATGGGCAGAAAACTTGAAACCTGGTGTAGAGCCTTCTTTTCTCATGGGTATGCTTGTGAGGCAGTAGATAATGCGATTTCAGAATGTTTCAATGACATGATCAAAGAAACGAGGAAAAATCCTCTACTTACAATGCTTGAGGAAATAAGGATTTTTTTTTTATGAAAAGGTTTTATCATCAGGGTCAAAAGGTATCCAAATGTAGGGGTAATTGTGGGCCCAACATCTTACTAAAGATTGAGGAGTTTGGGAAGGATATGAGGTAATGTTTGTTTAATGTGAATGTATTATGTATTTACTCTTTTTGTGTGTAATTTATTTATTTTCTATGTAGGTTGTGGATAGAGGTGCCAAGTGGAGGCGATGTGTTTGAGACCGGGTATGGATATAATAAATGCAAGGTGGATTTAGATGCAAGGTGGATTTTGTCTGGCATACCATGTGTGCATGGTGAAGCTGCAATCAATTTCATCAACAAAGATCCAAATCAGTTCTTTTCTTTTTGGCTCCACAAGGACAAGTATGTTGCAACATAAATAGAGAACATACTACTTGTAGGTGGAAGAAACTTGTGGCCAAAGAATGAGTTTATTAAGTCATTACCACCCCTAGTTAAAAGGATGACTGGAAGGCCCAAAGTAAAGAGAGTGAAGCATGCATCTGAATCACAAGATGTCAAATACCCCTCACAATGGTTAAAGGTGCCTAGGACTGTGAGATGTGGAAATTTCCAAGAGCTTGGGCATAATAAGATTTCCTGCAAAAATGGTGAAGTACCTAAGCCCCATGTCCCAAAAAGGAAGATTAGAAAACCTAGGAAAGATATGGGAGGGAAACCTATCTTTGACCAATTACCTTTAGTTATGCCTGCTACACCACTAAGGCATGGTGATGCAGGTGTTCATGATGGCGCTCCTCTTGTTTCTAAATTTGGTGTTCAAGATGGTGCTCCTCATGTTTCTCAATCTGGTGGTCTTGTTGATACTCCTAGGAAAAGGACTAATATGGTGCCAAGGAGGGGAGGCAAAGCTAAGATTTCTAGACCAAGGAACAAAACACTAAAGAAAGCCCATGGTAAGCAACCTTTGAGCCAGGGAAATGAGGATGTGTCCCTAAGGTATGATGAGGCTTTTGATGATCTTTTCACCCATACACCAAAGAAAGACCATGGTAAGCAACCTATGAGTCAAGCAAAGGAGTAGGTGCAAGAACAAGAGAATTCCCATGTGGTGGAGGTCAAGGAAAGATTAACTTTAAAGGACTTGTTGCAATCTGGATATACACATGTTGATGCAGTTGTTGGGTTGAAAGAGGTATGTGTTGCTACATTACTTTGTTACTTTCATATTGTAGATTTACTAACTAGACTTCCATATTGTAGTGTTATGGAGAAGAGGTTTAGGAAATAGAAGTTGAGGAAAGAGAGGTTGAGGAAAGAGAGGTTGAAGAAAGAGAGGTTGAAGAAAGAGAAGCTGAAAATGAGAGATCGAAGAAATAAAGGTACCTTTGGGTCCTATTTCTTATAAAATCCATTGGGTGAAAAAGAGGCATTCCTCTAAAATAATTAGGAAAGTTAAGCTTAGGAAAATGGTCCCAAAACCTGAAGGCGGTGGTTCTAGCAAACCCCCTTGGGTTTTAAATTAAGGAGTTGTGTTTTCCACGTAGAATTGGTAGAATGGGGATTAGTAAATAGGTTTCCCTTTTTGTAAACATCTTTTTTTTTGGTAAACATGTCTTTTGGTAACAAGTTTCCAATTCTTGTCCATAATGTTAGGTAGAATTGGAAGTTTGGTTCTAATTAGGTTACCCATATGGTAGTGGTTTGTGGGAAGCTCTGGAAAGTACACTCCCATTTCTAGGATGTTAACTTACATTGACATTGGTTGTATGAATGCTATTACTTATCAATATATGTTTCTTTATCATTATAATTGTTGTTACCTTCCATGCTTTGGTTAGTATGTTAAGTAGGTTGCTATTACATTTTCAAGATTTGGTCATTTTGTAACTATGTTTCTGTTACAGCTATTGCCATTACTAAGACATAATACATTTTTATCATTATGACTATCATTGTCATCTATTACAATACCAAAATAATGACATACATAACACATACATCAAATTACTGTCTAACTTGACCAAATACCCTTACACCTAAAATACTACTACCATTCCACCTAAACCTAACTAATGCCCACAACTTCCCAGTGCTTTAACCAAAACATTGTGAACCATAAACCCCATCACAATCACCACCACCAAAAGCATGTCCATCATACTTAGCACCACCTTCAACCATTTCAAAATCTCCATTTGAATTGCATTGTTGTTCTTGGCATCATCCTAAAGCTTTAAAATCTCCATTTCAAATGCTTTGTTCTTCTTAGCCTCCTCCAAATCTACAAAGAATTTCCATATGGTTTCCTTGTAGTAAGTGTTTGGCAGTGGTGGATCAAGCCATAAAAAAAATTCGCATTTTTTTTGGAGTCCTACACTACATGACCACTTATTCATACTAGTTCAAGAACACAAAAACATTAGAAAATCTAAGGTTGGTCGTACATGATAGTTTGGACACCCCCATAATTTCCTCCGTGGATTCTCGAGAGTTTTGGAGACCGAGAATGTGGCAGGTTCATCACACTCGCATCTCAAATCTTTAGACCACCGATTCCTTAAAGCCAATTCTCTATACCCTTGTATGTGCATGTTGGAGGACCATACCATGTTGGAGGTTTGAGGACGGAGAGGAGAATTGGATTTACCTAGCTAAGAACTGACCTCCAACGTTTGTATTTTGCTATGTAACCTGTTGAAACCGGTAAAACTGGCACTTTTCCATTTTCCATAATTCCATTAAAATATTGTGTCTAGAGTCAACGAAAAATTAAATTAAGGGCTTTTGCCAATTTAGTGGTAAAAACTTTGGACTTTTATGGTATTAGTCCTAATTTTGTGAGACCGTGAGACCATTTTTTTAGTTAAATATTCTAGTATTCTAATGTTCGTAAAAATATAATATGTATAATATTCTAACATTATACGTTTTTAGAATATTTCAATGTAAAATGTGTTAACAATATTGTTTTAGAATATTATAATATCACATATATTACATTTTTATGAAAAACTGAATATTAATTATAATATTTCACTAGAAACAAATGGTCTCACGGTCTCACAAAAATTGACCCGTCTCAAATAAACCTAACCATATATATATATATATATATATATATATATATATATATATATATATATATATATATATATATATATATATATATATATATATATATATATATATATAGTAAAGTAATGATCAATTTATTATAACTTTTTTGTCTTAACTTGTTTAATTAAGATATCTAATTATGCAAATGCTTAGGAGAGATAGAAAAAGAGAAGAAAACTGCAAATTAACATAACAACAAGCGATAAAGAGGATTTTAATAAAAAAATTCACTTCTTGAAAGGGAGGCAACAAGGAAAGTAAAGAAAAATTCAGCTGTTGAACCAATATTGTGATGTGAATCATGTGATGATATGGGTACGTTCATGGTTAATTCATCTAGTTTTCGATGTGTATGTTGTGATGTTCTTGCTAATATGAGTACATAGTTAATTTTCTAACCACCAAAGGTGTAAAAAATCAGAAATGGCATGAGAGCACACATTAGAGGATACTACTCGGGAGGATTACTGCACCATTCAAACTCAATTCCCCACATTCAGGTTTGTAGAGAAGCCTAATTCTTATGAGGCCGACATTGATAAGCAATGTACCCACCACCCGGTTACTAGGGAACCTACTGGACCATTAAAGTGTACTAAAAAAGCCTAAGGTGGGACATAGTAAGATGTTAGTAAGTTTGTTATACACGTGGGACAAAATAATATTTAGTTGGGAGAGGTAGTGATGTAAGCATGTTTATATCTTCATATTTTGGATTCGGCAATTTTGTTGGAGAATGTTGAGAATATTAACATCTTATCTCAAACTATTCATTCTTTGTATCCTTTTCCGTATCCTTTTTTTATAAATATTTGATTTATTGAGTGCATATTTTGTCTTTTATTAGTAGTGTGTTTGTAAAGGTTTTGTTGTAGGAGGGTTGTTATTGTCAAAGTTGGAAAGCATTGGACTGCAACTCATAGATCACTCTCACACTCTCATCATGTTCTCTCTCTGATTTAGGGTTTCAGTCATAATTGTTCTGTCTGAGTGACTGAGTGTTGTATTGAGTTCTAAATTGTAAGTCCGTTGAAAACCAACTGGTTCTTATTCTAAATAAAGAATTTTTTATGTTGTGAAGATCTAGAGTTTTGTCCATGGTATCAGAGCGAGGTTATCGTTGTTCTTGAGTTGTTGTTCTGCGTCGAGATCTAGGTCTTTAGCGTTGGTTAGCGATCTAGGGTTTTTGGAGTTTTTTGTATTCCTATGGATCATCTCTCGGTTGGCTGAAGGTTGTCGATCGTTAATCTGTGATGATGATTGTGTTTTTTGGTGTTTGTCATCTCCGGTTGTTCGTTGTCATGTTGTTTAGTTGTAAATGAGGGATTAGTAGTAAATGCTTAGTTTAACTGTTGTTATCCTAATGACAAGCGCTAAGCCAGTCGGTCAACACTAAACTCGTACAAAAGAGTTCTATAAACGAAGGTGATTCTTGGCATTTGGATGTTGTTTCTGTTTTTCAGTGTTAGATCTGTTCTGATCTAGTGAAACAACCTTGCTACATTGCATAGCGTTGTAGTGGGTTAATCCTGGTGTCGGTTCTTCTGTGGTTTTTTTAATCTGATTAGTGTGTTCTTTGTTTTCTTTGTGTGAATCTCTTATCTGTTAAGGTTCTTGTGTTTGTAATATGGTTGGTGGTCCTACTTCTGAACCTGGTGAATCATCTAATAAAAATGAAACTATTGATTTTGATGATCCACCTTATTTGTATCCTTCTTATAACATTGTTAACACCATTATTGGTTTAAACTTATTGGAACTAAAATTTTTACGGTGTGAGGAGTTCTATGACAATAGATCTGAAAGCTCGAAATAAAATTAGATTTGTTGATGGTACAATTGTTAAACAAAAGGATGATCCTATTAAATCTCTCAAGTGGGATCGTGTAAATGCTATTGCGTGTTCTTGGATCTTAGGATCTTTAGCTGAATCTATATATGTTGGTCACGCATGTTTTGAATTTGCTCTTGATATTTGGACCGAGTTGTATGATACTTATAATAAGGCTGATGGTTACGTTGTTATTAATTTCCATCAACGTATTAGTTCTTTAACTCAAAGCAGCTTAAGTGTTTCTGATTACTTTAATAAACTTGATTCACTTTGGAAAGAACTTGATGGTCTTACTAATTTGACTAACTATACGTGTGAAGCTGCAGATCAATTTAATAGTCATTCAAAGTTAATGAAATTGATGTAGTTTCTTAGTGGTTTAGATGACTCTTTTAGTCACGTTAAAAGTCATATTTTACTACTTGAACCTTTACCGACTGTGAAAACTGCTTTCTTTATTGTGTCTAGAGAAGAGTCTAATAAAAAAACATGGTTCTTTTACTGCTTCTTCCAATAAATCTCATTCCTATGCCTTTGCTGGTAAAATTAGTGATACTAGGAAGCTTAAAGGAAGAAATCAGAACCTTCAATGCAAGCATTATTGCCTTATGTAACGTCCCAAAAATTAAGACTAAAAATTTCGATTTTTAAATTAATAAAACCATTATCCAAAACAACATCATAAAAACCATAGTGAATCAGAGTGTATCAATAAACATCCAAGTATATCAGAGTCATGTAAAATGCAGAACAATGTGGTGTGTGAAATGCAGTCATCCCGAGCTCTTCCCCTTCGAACCAGAAGTACCTGAAACATAAGATGAAAACCGTAAGCAGAAAGATTAGTGAGTTCCCCAAAATACCACATATCATACATATCAAACATATAATGGGCCCCGCCCGACATTGAGCCCCGCTTGGAACAGATCTGTCAGTCATCAGTCCCCCGCCTGGCATCGAGCCTCGCCCGGTATACATACAAATACATAAACACATGCAAGAATTACAAAGATAAATAGCATACAATATAATCATCAGGCCCCGCCCGGTAAACATATCAGAAGACATACTGATAGATGCCATTTTATGCATCTTTTAGGGTAGTTTTTATTAGCAATTTGCATCATTTT